CACTCACCTTAGCCTCCCAAAGGCGCGGGATTACAGGCTGAGCCACCGAGCCCGACTGCCAGCTGGGATTTTGATGGGTGTTACATTGAATCTGGAGATCAATTTATGGAGTATAGCATAACAATATTAAGTCTTCCAATCCATGAACTTGGGAAGCCTTTCCATCTACTTAGGTGTTCTTTCAGTGCTACTTTACAGTTTTATAGGGTACAAGTTTTATACTTCTTACTACTTTAGTACTAATTATTGGTCTTTGTCATGTAATTTGTACATGGAATTGTTCTCTTAATTTTACATTTCAGATTGCTCATTTCTAATGTATGAAAATACAGTTAAATTTTATACATTGTTCTTATCTCCTACAACTTTGCTGAACTTATTTCTTAGCTCTAATAATTTCTTGTGGATTTCTTAGGATCTCCTGCATACATAATTATGTCACTCTCAAAAAAGAGTTTTATTTATTTCTTTCCAATCTAGAAAAACCTTCTATTTCTTATTTTTCTTTTTCCTTCTTTGCCTAATTGCCCTGACTAGAACTTACAGTACAATGTTGAAAAGACAGGGCAAAAGAAAACCGTGATTTACTTTTAGTTAATTTTTGTATATACAGTAAGGACTGTAATTTATTGTGTTCACTGTTATAAATATAGATGCCTAATTGTTCTATCACCATTTGTTTAGAAAAATTATCCTTTCTCTGTCAATTGCCTTTCCACTTTGGTAAAAATCAATTCACCAAATATGTGTGGGTCTATTTCTGGATCCACCTACATGTGTATCCTTTCATCAATACCAAATTTTCCTGATTATTATAGTTTTCTGTGAGTCTTATTAACTAATGGATTTACTGAAGAACTTTATAAGAAATGACCTCACTTTCTATGTTACAGAATAAGTCAGTGTTTATAATCCAACAACTCTTTCATACAGAAAACTTCTAAATGACCTAATGTTAATTTTAAATCACTGTTCTTGACTTTGGATAAAAATTATCTATCCCACTTATGTGGTTGGCAATAAACATGGTATTTTAAAATGATAACCACAGTAATCACACACACAGAATTTTTTTTTTACAAATTTGAAATAAGGTGACAAATTTATGTGGACAGTAATAGAATCTTTCAAAAATTGTTCTAATCAATATCTTATTTCTAATAAACAACCTGAAAGACATTCACTTTTTTTTTTTTTTGAGTTGGCATCTCTGTTGCCCAGGCTGGAGTGCAGTGGCACGCTCACAACCACTGAAGCCTCGAACTGCTGGGCTCAGGATATTCTTCTGCTTCAGCCCTCTAAGTAGCTGGAACTACTGGTGTGCACCACCACACCCAGCTAATTTTTTTTTTTTTTTGAGTTGGAGTCTCACTCTGTCACCCAGACTGGGAGTGCAGTGGCCGCTCTCGGCCACTGCACC